CCACCCGGTATCGACAGAAACGCGTCTGCATTCTATTCATTGTGCAATATCCATTGAGGAAAATTGGATATCTTTTCTTCTTTTTTTTTTTTGAATCGAACAGAAAATTGGGGACGCTTCACTAAATTGTTGGTTGTACAAGGACAGCCATTGTAAGGTTTTGCTTAGGGCATAGAACCTAGTATGACTTCTTGATTATTCGTATCAGGGTTGCACCAATATATGCCGGTTCTTTGTTTTATAATTAAGAACAAGCAGAAACCTTTATTCGAAACGGTTTGTTGAGGGATATATGATTTAAGTACTCGAGAATTTAAGACGTATATGTAGTCGGTGATTTATTTTGATATCTGATATGAAAAATGACATATACTACAAATTTTGCTTAATTAGAAAATAGATTAGTGTAAACCACTTGTAATAACACAGAGTTCCACGCTGGTTGCACCATACTTTCGGCCTTGTGCCATAGGTAAACTACGCTAATCTAAGTTAATCGTTAGCAAAATTGTCTTGCTAGATAAGTTACGAGTCAGTAGTAAGACATCACTGGCCAATTCCCTTTTTCGAACCTGTGCCACATCAAAGTTACGCTTAGAAAATAACTAGTTGTAATAACGTAGAGGGCGGATATGTGTATGCAAACATTTCTTTTATTACTACTACTATATTATGTGTGCTTTCGGGACGTTGGTGATCATGGCTCTCCACATATCCTATCTTTTGTATCACTTAGACATGTCTTGGAAAACAAATATTCTTAATTGATTCTGCAATATATAGGTGACCGATAGATGCAGGAATGTTTATTATATTTTGAACAAAATTTCTGACTCCCCGACTGATTTTATTACACCGCTCCGTTTATTAAATTCGAAATTTCTTGAAATTTTAAAGGACCCACACCTTATTTTTTACGACCACCGTTTATTGCATATTTATAAATACCTAAACATACTTCATTCATAATCATATAAATCTTGTAATATTTGGTGAGCCTATGTTATTTTTTGCTCTGTTAACATCTCTTGAATAGCTTTTTAAATTTGTTTAACAATCACTGATTTATAGGGTGATAGATCCTTTTCATTGTTTTGTACATATTTCTCAAGAAATGTGTGGCGTAATGGTTATCAACACGGGAAATATAATCTTCCGGTTAAGTTCAAAGCTCCATTTTGCATTAATGCTCTTGGAAAATATATTAATCATTCCTTCTTCCCAGTAACTTATGGGAAAGAGTTTAATTTGGGATTTGCTCGCCTTACTGTGTCAGTCTCGAAGGAAAACACTAAATTCCGAAGCATTGGGTATAGCTAATTGTTGTGGATTCCGGGATAAAATCCGGTCGCAAATGAATGACAAACGCAGGAATGAAATATAACAAATAAATGTATTGACGTAATAATACAACTGGTAATACGGTTAGTAGATCCAGAAATGCGGTTAGTAGCAACGATAATTATATATATATACAGTCTGGGAAATTCAGTATCGAGGTATGACTTCCTTCTGTGTCTACGTGCTCGCAACTGTGACTCCTACAAAGCGGTTACCTCATACTCCCACTCACACTCTCACTCTCTCACTGTATCACTGTATCACATCCGGGTATTCACCGGCAGCAGTACAAGTACACACCGGGCGAGTCCACTTGTATAAAAAGGGTTGGACCCCTTAACACTAATGAAAATAGTGTTGTAAGTTAGATAGGTCCATTACTCATACGTCCACTGAAGTCCGAGATGAATTTCTTGCATCGAATATTGCACTACAAGTAATTTTATATCGGCCATCTTGTCGAATACCTTGCCACTTGACTTTGAATTTGTGAGGGTATTGGCGGTATGCAATCATCGAATGAGCTGTGTAACTTCTGATTGTTTACTTTCTATTTTATATGAGACAAAATTTCCAACCAATCGATAGTACGAACGTTTTCATATTTGTTTCTCATGGTATGTTTTCTTATTTAATTCATTCTTTTTTATTCATCATTCATTTCATCATTTCAACTGGAATATACCAGTCTAATAGAACTGCTTGCATAATTAAAGACTCGAGACCACACTGCACTTCATATACGATTTAAAGGTCGAGAAGGTTTTATCACCGGAAATGTTGCCTTTGGGGCATAAAAATCACTGCATTAATATGTATCAGCTATAAAAAGAAATGAATAGTAATTGTTATAGACAGAATTTTCCTCTTTAAATCTTTGTAATAAATTTATGCAAAGGCATAAAAACTTAATAAAAATAACCAATTTTTATTAAGTTCTAAGATACAATTAATTCCACATAACAGTGTATTGAATTATTTTTAAGCATTTTTGTGGAAAAAAGCATTAGGCAGGATATAACAATAAAAATATTTAATGTCTAAGAGCGTGACGCTGGCAAATAACCCTGTTCAACATCCCAGACACTCAACAAACACTCACTCACACGCATACAAACACACACATACACATACGTATATATATATATATATATATATATATATATATATATATATATATATGTGGGGGGTGTATTGTGTTGATGATATGCCAAAGGACCTAAGTAGAGCTATTTTCATATCAATGGTGAAGAGGCTAAGCGAAAACGAATGTGACCCCCATCGGACAATCAGCCTAATTAGCCATAAAACAAAACATTCGAATTGTAATGAATATAGCGCGCAACTGAATCAGACCTTAATAGGACAAGAATAGTGCGGGTTCGTTAAAGACACTGGTACAAAGAGTGTGTTATTTATGCTCAGAATGTCAGAAACACCAATACAAATATAAAAAAAAATGTATACCTATGTTTTTTTTAGATTATGCAGAAACTGTTCATGAAGTACTACATGGAGAACTGTTGTAATTGCTAGATAACTTTGACATAATTGGGAAGGATATTAGAATAACCCAGAACAAATGTTGGCAACATACGTATAGAAAATGAATTTAATATATATACAAAAATAGAAAATGTTGTAAAAGAAATGTGTATCTTATCACCAAAGCTATTCAATCCATAAAGTGAGGAGAATTAGAAGTTCTACCTAGATTCATTATTGTTGTCCAAAGTCTAAACACAAAATGACTCAATTTTGGTTTCCGACGCAGAAAGGAAACTACAAGAACGCCTACAGAAATTTTCAAAGGAGATGAAATGACTAAACATCAATTGCAAGAAGCAAAACAATTTGAAAATATGGGAAATGTTTTTGATAGCGGATGGAATGTGTGACACCTAAATCCTAAGCAAAGTATTAGGACAGAAAATTTTTTAAATTCGAAACAAAGAAATGAGGACTGAAAAGTTACGTGATATTTGCTCTTCTGTATGACAGTAAATACGGAATTACCTCATCCGAGATGAAGACATTTGAAGCAACGGAATTGTGGATTTACAGAATAATACGGAGAATTCTATGAACTGAACATGTGAACAATAATGACGTTTGAGCGAAAATGGGAACAAAAAGGAGAATTCTAATTGATATCTGATAGAGACAGTTGATATTTTTAGGGTACATAATGAGGAAAGACTGCTTAGACAATTTGATACCCACAGAACAGATTAGAGTCAAGAAGGATAAAGGAAAACAATGTGTGTCTAAAGAGTGGGAGTAAATGGATGACAGAATGGGATTTAGGATAGTTTACAAAAAGACAAAATATATTAAGAGCTGCAAATGACAGGAAATTGTGGATAGACATGATCGGCAATGCCTTGATGAGAAACGGGACATAGAAAAAGATGATTTATATACATGACGGTGTATGTGTGAGTGAGTATTGTGGAGAGTGTTAAACATTGTGAGTATAGCGATCAACATTGCATGGTATTTGTCAGTTTTATGCCTTCATGTAAAACTAAGTCTTTCATATTATTATACAACTCTGAAGATTGTATTGTCGTCAAACTGACGGTCACAATGTAGTGTTGTCTAATATATTCTTAATATGTACATTTATCACTCTGTTTCTCTCTCTCACACACACTCACTCTCTCTGTCTTTCTCTCTCTCTCTCTCTCTCTCTGCATATAAATATATGCGCGTGTGTGTGTGTGTGCGTGTGTGTAAATTTTTCTTAACCCCAAAATCTCAAAATATCAAATTTGTCCTGACTTATAAATTAAGTAAATGAATTTCCAAAAAGTTATTCTTAGCATCTCTTGATAATGGAACGGAACTTTGTATTTTTAGTTTAATTTTTATGATTGAATTTGAACTGAGCATTGAATCAATGTTTCAATGATAATATATTTTTAAAAAAAAGATAATTATAATATTATGCTCTACTATTGTATCGAGCACTGATTTTTAAAAATAAAAATAAATGCTAAGAACTCTGAATTATAAATCTCATTGTTCTTTCATATTATTTTATTTTTATATATATATATATATATATATATATATATATATATGAGAAATTGTAAGAAACTCGTATCCGAAAATGCCCGTCTACTGAGGCGGCTACTCAATCCCTATTGCAGATAACTACTCAGGCACATTTGTGTTTTATAAATAACCAAGGATACCACCTGATGTTTATACTGCAACTATGCTGAGCGGACCTTAATTACTGTTGCTGGGAGAGAGAGCATTATCTCGTGTTATCAACAATTTGAATAAGGCCAGCACGCTCAAACCTCAGTCATGATGACTTGTGACTTCGTTCTATCACAATAATCGACGGTTCCCCAAAAGTTCCGTCTAACCAAATTCACTCACAAGTATCCGCGTATGGCATTCGGGCAGTTTCCAAAGCTGTTGGGATCGCCTCTCTCCCATACCGATAACATCAATATGTTACCTTCCTGGGAAAGAGAACGTTCTAATCACTCGTATTAAGTATACGTATATAATCTAATCGACTTGTTTTCCACCAGTGTTTGTGGTCGGCACTCAAGCAATGATTTCAATGGCTTATTTTGAAGACAGCTAAACCCGCATTAGTTTGAGGATTAATGCAACGGAATCTCCCAAAGTTAAATTCCTTATCGTCTTCCAAATTTAGAGAGAAATAGCGAGAGGAGAAGAAGTGGGGGATTTGAAAAGCCCGCGAATGTGATGATGTCCGATTTAATAAATACTGGATAGGCAACCACACTGAAGTGTACACGAAGTCTCATCTCACTAATATGAGAGGTGTCTTGAAAATGACCCTTGAATATAAGTTTTTTCCTGAAGTAGTATAATTCATATATTAGAGGCAAACCGCATGCTGTTGGATTCAAGAATATTCCGGGTAGATACAAAAAGAATTTCGGGGAATTGGAAATCCCAAAAGATTCGATTTGGGATGCCTCTGTTGAGATCGATGAGAAACCCTGACATTTATCTGAGGCCTCACAGGATGGTGTCAACTTGCCCACATTTATTTAAAAATACAGTATGAAGAGTTTGAATAGATAGATAGATAGATAGATAGATAGATAGATAGATAGATAGATAGATAGATATGACTAGACTGGGATAGATTGATATGACTAGACTGAGATATGACTAGACTCACACTCACTCTCTCTTCCCTTCTCTCTCTCTCTCTCTCTCTCTGCAGATAGATAGATAGATAGATAGATAGATAGATAGATAGATAGATAGATCATAATAATTCACTTCGTAATCTATTGGTAAGGAGGAAGTTCTGTCTGGACAAGTTCTTTCCATAAATGGCTACTTTGAATCATTACAAACTTAACAATTTCAAGGGTGGGATCAACAGTTCACTTTCAACAACTACATTCAGTAATCCTATCAATAGATAGATAGATAGATAGATAGATAGATAGATAGATCTACCAAAGTTTACCTGAAACCTTTCACAATAAAGGCGAATATTTTTTTAATTTTTTAAATAATTTAATATTTAATTTTTTTTTTAACAGAATAAGCACAGGAGATGAAATGAACCGAAATACAAATGATAGAGTATGGAATGGCAACGTTCTGTCACGCCAGCGACGAAGAAATTCAAGCTTTGGGGAATAAGTCAAAATTGCCTGTACAGGAAGACTAACTTGAAAATTGGGGTACGCTTAACAGTGGAAGATACTGTGTTTTTCCGACCAACAATCTGTAGCAATCAATTCGCGCCAATCGCCGAAGCCTTTTTCGAAGCATGTTTTGTTGTGGCGCGAAATCACACCCACATACAGACGCAGCAAAGATTAAACCATCAACCAATTTGGTTATGAGGTGCTGGAAAATTCTGCCTACATACTAGATATATTGTCTTCAGATTATCATCTCATTGAATCGGTTGAAGACTTTAGCTCGTCAATTTCCAAGGGATAAAGGGGAGCTGCATAAATGGTTGCGCAATCAGGCGAAAATCATCTACTTGGAGGAAATGCGTAAGTTTCTGGACCGCTGGTTCAATTGCGTCGAAAGAACCTAATCTAGAAAAATGACGAATTTGTTTAAACCCTGCTTTTTGGTAAATAAATTAAAAAGGAAAACAAAGAAACAAGAGTGCAGATAATTTTTCACTTTCCTTCGTATGAATTATATTTATCTGATGGAAACATGCAGGATATCTGAGATAATTGAAACCCGGTAGGTAAGACCTTTATATAAAATATTCCCATACATGTATATTTTCAGAATAAAAAAAAAAAATTTCCAAGAGGAAGGATCCAGGTAGAACTCAATGTCTAGGACAGAGTAAGGATATAATAAATCTCCTCTTTTTAAATTCCCCCCACCCACATCTCCTAAAATTCTCTCTGTTAAGGTTTCATGTCCCTCCTCCTCATACTTACACTTTCTCTAAATTCTGTTTTGATTTCCGGAGTTGTTTTTTTTTTTGTTTTCATTTTGAATTTGTAGGTCTGATGATTTGGATCGTATTTACGATTCCAATGGAATAAATTATGACCATGGAATATTAGTTAAAGCCTTTTTAATATATTTATATATATATATATATATATATATATATATATATATATAATTATTTATTTAAAAATATGATTCAAAACATAAGAGGTCTCATGTTTCAAAACAAGAGCCGAAAACTACAATATAATCCTTTAAATTAAATTGAGTTTAAATTAAAATGGGCTCCCGTTCCATCTTCAAGCGAAATTTTGTTGGAATAACGTATATCTGAAATTTACTTGTTTTAAAAATTGAAATCAAAATCCCCATGGTAACAGCTAGGGCGAATTGTTTAAATTGGGTAGGCGAGTGTAGGGTGTTAATAATAAGTAGCGGTATAGAGATACTTTCAAGATGTCAAGTCGGGGAAAGGTGGGGGTGTCTAAAATGAAACGGAAGATGTATTGACCTTCGTCTAGTTTGCTTGTCTATGGAGATTTATTTATTTATTTTATTTTATTTAATTATGAAAGGGAATTGTGCATATAAAAAAAGAAAAACTTTCGTAACGTTTGTTTTTTGACGACTTCATAAAGGGTTATCTTTTATGTAAGGTATTTAAACTATTTATTTGGGCTATGGGTTATGAAGGGTGTTATGTTGTATGCATGTTTATTTACCTAACCAGTTCCTTCCTATTTTCTATATATTTTTTCACACATATATATATATATATATATATATATATATATATATATATGATAAAAAGAAAGAACAGTAAGATGTATAATCCAGTGTTCTTATTAATATTATTATTTTTGCAGAACAGTGCTCAATACAAATCTACAGAGCATAAATATTATAAATGTACTTATTTAAAAATATGGTACCATCGTTACACATGAATTACAGAAGCTGAAAAGTTCAATTTCATTTATAGAATTAAATTAAAGTACCTACTTCTGTTTCATTTTCAACCGAATTTGGGAATTTATAATTAACTTGAAAATGAAACAGAAATAGAGACTTTAATTTAATTCTCTAATTGAATTTGAAGCTTTTAACTTCTGTTTTTTTAAACATGGTAATACCTGTGTAGCGATGGAACCATATTTTTAAATAAAAAAATTTATATATATATATATATATATATATATATATATATATATATATGTGTGTGTGTGTGTGTGTGTGTGTGTTTTTTCATTGTAGACTTGTCAGGAAAAAGTTTACTATTTACAAAGGCGTTTGTCTGTTCTAAAATAAATATTTATAATGCCGTTTTAATGGTGCTCGATTAGTGATCAGTGTAAAAATGATGAAGATGTAAAATCATATTTCAGTCTAATTATTTACTAAGCATAGCTTAATCTGTAATGTTAGCGAGTATGCGGTACCCAGTATCGAACACACTGCACAATAATGAAATGTAATTCACGTTTGCAAAGAAGCATCCAGTTGGAAAGAGACACAAGGATATAAACACACGCATATATATATATATATATATATGTGTGTGTGTGTGTGTGTGTGTGTGTGTGTGTCTTACCAGTTTGTGACTGCAAGTGATAATTACGAGGAGGATATAAATGCAGGGAGCGCTTAATGTACACTACAGAGCATTGTAATGATAATAAGAAGACGGAAACTTAAATTATCCATTTCGATTATGAATTTGTTTCTCTTTAGATCGAAATCTCCTCTGTAAATATTCTAACAGTTGAGCATCACGGAGTTCACGAAATAAATTTATAATCAAAATGGATAATTAAAGTTTCCGTCTCTCTTATTATCATTATTGTTGAAACTTGACTAATGCATGGAATAATAATGCAACACAAAATGTACTTAGAACAAAATGTATTGAAACAAGAAAGTGTACACAATATTTACATTGTATTATAGACATATTTGATTATCTCACGCGTTTCGTGGCTGGTCAAGTTGTTTCTTCTTATTATTAATAAATAACAATTAATTAATCTATAAATGTTCTGTCTACAATGTCAAGCATTCTTAGCTACTTTTTTAATAATATATAATTATTAACAAAGTGTCTATATATATATATATATATATATATATATATATATATATATATATATATATATATATATATATAAATATTACTGAATTTATATCAAATTTATGTGATTGATATTATGTAACTGTTACATTTTGCTAACATGTTTTATGCATTTTGATTTATCTGATTCAGTTTTAAGCATAGTATAACGAACACCTACAAAAAAAAAACGCAACACAAAACATTTTTTTTATTTTCTAGGTTTTAATTTACTTTACTTGCCAGACCTTCGAATATGGATCGTGAGAATCAAAATCCTGAAAGTTTTATGCGTCTGAAGCAACCAAGTTTTTAAAATTGAGAGAAAACAATGGGTATATTCAATCGACTGCATATCAATTTAAATAAATCGTTTTTAGAAAAACCATTGCTGCCTAATTGTTCTGCATTTTAAATAATATAAGCACATACACACACAGAGATATGCAGACGTATATATATATATATATATATATATATATATATATATATATATATATATATATATAATTCCAAGGAGGATGAAGAAAGCTTGGTAAACCCAGAGCTAATAATTAATGAAAAAGCAGACCACTGAAAGCACCATTATAAAATTTAGACCAAATATTTTTTGATGGAAAAGCATCAGGTAACACTTCCAACAATGAAATGAAACGAAAATTAATTACAATAATTTATTTCATATAAAATATATTTTATATATATATATATATATATATATATCCAACAACGAAATGAAATATATATATATATATATTATATGATGTTGTAATATATATTTAAGTATATATACATACATTTTAATATATATAATATTAATATATATATTTATATATGGATGTTTGCGTGTGCGTATGTATATGTATACTTTAAATATATATATTTGCAGATATTTATAAAGAAGAAATGGATTTTTTTTATTTATTAATTAGACATTAGATAATTTATTTCTTAAACTTTATTTTTAGTGGATATTCATATCGAGTTAGCGCTCCGAGTATTTATTAAACAGTATATTTATTTATTTTCGTCTACCGGCCTTAATATTCGAGAAATCTTATTCAAGCGCATAATCTTTTTCCTATGTATGTATTTATGGCAGTATACTGTGTTATTTTCATTATTCACACCTCAAAATTTGATTAAAGGAATTTTTTTATAGGTATTTGATGAGATTTTAAGGGGATTATGAGACAATAGTTTACCTTATGTGCTTAAATGTATAATGAATTTTCTGTTAAATATGGCTTAATGTCTTCGAGCACATATGTTGTCAATGGATTTGCATTTGGCTCTAGGGTAGTGTGCAGGAATGTTTTCCATTTTATATTATATTTTATAATGTCATTACACTAAATTTAAAATGAGTCACGGAAAGCTAAAATCTATCGACTTCCAGCAATTCCATTTTAAACATTTTATACATAATTTACCATATAACAGCTAGACACTTACGTGCTTGCTGATTCACAGTGTAATTTTGTATACATCGAAAAGTTTAACCTGTACATTAAAAGTTTAACAATGAAATCAATGCTAAAATCGGTAGGATGCATTATTTTTTGTGTCATAATATACAATTCGATCAGTCAAGTCCCTTGAACTTTCCGCTTGTTGGTATTTGGTATATAAACATATATATATATATATATATATATATATATATATATATATATATATATATATATATATATATGATGGGTGTTTTTTCATTTCAATATCATCTTTAATTGCGAATGATATTATAAGTGACTTCTAATATTTTCAAGATTTGAAAGTTTAGATTTGCATTGAACTGGAAAAAAAATTGCGAGAATCTAAAAGTCAACTTCACACACACACGCAAATAAATACACACACAGACACACACACACACACACACACACACACATATATATATATATATATTTA